CCCCCAGCAGACGAGGGAGCCGCTGAGCAAAGCCACGGAGGCCCGGGGCGGACCCGCGGCTTCCAGATCAGCTGAAAGCGCTGCGGGTCCGGCCCGGGTCCTCCGCCGCTCTGCTCAGCGTCTCCCTGGTCTCTTAAATGTCGGATCCGCGTAACTCAGGGACTGCCTGTATATTGTCCATTAACTAAACTGTGCTAGTGACAGATCACTGGCCATAAGAACTTAAAATCTAGAGCAGTGCTTCTTAACCTGTAGCCCATGGGCCTCTTGTGGCCCAGTCAGTGCAGAGATGCAGCCCATGTGGCATCCTCAAGGCCATACAGGTGGTATCGGATGTAGCCCACATAACACATTGTAGGACATAACAAATGGTCCACAGTGGTAAATAGGTTGAGACCCCCTGACCTAGACTCTAGTCTACGCCTCCAAGGATCACCTTGGTAGCTGAGTGGGTGTGATCATGTGATCGCTACACACCCACTGATGGGACACTCCAGGGCTCGTGTGGCAAAGCCCTCTGGATCTGAGGGATGGTGTTCCCCGGCCAGGTGGCTGGGGCAAGTCCCGCGCTAAGAGGGGACAGGCACGTGGGTACAGCAGACCCAGCTAGATCTGAAATCGGATCAGCTCTCACGTGTGATAGGTTGCAGGACGGGCTGCTGCCCCTCATCCCGGCCCTGTTCCCTGACTCACTCGCGGCTCCCGCTCCCCTTTCAGGCCCTGCACCCCGAATCCCAGCTCCCTCCACACAGCCCTCTTGTGCCTATGAAGCCTGACCCGCATCCTCTGCTGTCTCAGCCCTGGGCTCCCTGCATTGCCAGTGCCCCTCAATCCTGACCCCCAGCCTTGGGCCTCCCCCCGTTCTGCTGATGCGTCCACCCCACCGCCCCTGTCCTCTAGCCCTGGGCTCCGGAGCATCAGTCCCAATTCCTGCGACCTCCCTCTCCTGCCGCAGGGCTGCCAGGGCACGCGGGGCCGGAGTGCTGAGGACTTGCCATGGCCAAGCTGCAGGGGCTGCAGGCTGACTACGTCTTCCGTGGAACGGAGCACGTTGTGCGGATGACTGTGAATGGGAGCGTCCTGGAGGTGGAAGTGGAGGACCGGCTCACCACCGATCAGTGGAGAGGGGAGTTCGACGCCGCCTGTGAGCCTCCTGCCAGTCCCATGCTGGGGGAGGGGCCAGTGGTTAGCAGGGGACTGAAGTTCAGGACTCCTGGGTTCTGTACCTGAATGTGGGGGGCACTGGGAATCAAGGAGTTGTGGGTTCTGTCCCCAGCTGCCGGAGGGCTGTGGTGGCTAGTGGTTAGAGTGTGGGCAGTATTGGGAGTCCAGGACAACTGGGTTCTGTCCCCAGCTGCCAAAGGGCTGTGGTGGTTAGAATAGGGGCTGGCAGTCTAGGACTTCTGAGTTGTATCCCCAAGTCTGAGAGGGGGTGGGGTCTAGTGGCTAGAGCAAGGGACAATCTAGGACTCTTGGCTTTCCTTCTAATTCCCAGAAGAGATGCAATGAGTTCGGGGCTGGGAGCCAAGTCTGACCTTGCCTGACCAGTCTCTCTCCCTGTTTTGTTTGCTCCCAGTCATTGAAGATTTAACTCACAAGACGGGGAACTTCAAGCAGTTTGGGATCTTCTGCAGCATGCTGGAGTCTGCCCTGAGCCAGGTGAGGCCTGCGTGGCTCACAGCTGCCTGCTCCTGGGCACATGTGCCTGGCCCAAGAGCAGTGGGAGAAGGGGCCTGGGTGCCGTGGGCTGCATTGGGCAGCTTGCCAGGCCCCCAAGGGTCCCTCCTGTTCTGCAGGGAAATGGAGCTGGTTGAATCACTGCTGCTTCTTAAGGGACCCCAGGTCCCTGCGTGTGGTGCTCCATCAAGCTGCACTGCTGTCACTTGCGATGGTGCAGAGTGGCATGCTGGGAGCTGTAGTCTTTAGGGGCAGCCCGGTGGCCAGCCGCTCTCTTACCACCTCCCCCCTCGCCGCGGGGTGCAGCGTGAAGGGCTAGGCTGGCGCGGCCCCCCTGAGTCAGCGCGCGGTCACCTTGGACCTCCTCACCTACACTGACCTGGAGGCGCTGCGGAGCCGGAAGATCGGGGTGGGCCCCCGGCACATGCCCTCCGCCTCCAAGTCCTCGCTGCTGAGCTCCAAGCGCTACCTCATCCTCATCTACTCCGTGGAGTTCGACAGGTAAGGGCTGCTCGGGGGGGACGACGAGGAAGCAGCAGCATGGGGCCAAAAGGACTCCTGCAATCCCGAGCTGCATGAACTGGTGTCTCAGTTAGGAGCGAAGAGGGGGTTTCCCTCTGGATCTAGTCTGATGGGACTGCTGCTGGGATCTTGGGCCCCCCACGGGTGTTCACAACTGAACACGGGTGTCACTGAAGTGGAGAGAGGACCGAGAAGATCCTCCAGAGTGACTGAAAAGCTGCCTTCTCGAGAGAGTCCAGGAGCTCCATCGGTGTAGCCTAACAGAAGGCTGTCACGGCTGATTCCCCACTCTGGCATGCTGAATGCAGAAGTGGGGGCTTGCAAAGTACCCCAAAACCTTCTCCTTCCAGGCTTTGGTATAAAACTTCCCCCCAAAATCCTCAAACCCTAGATTTTGGGGATAAAAATCCGCTGCCACCACCCAAGTAATGGTAAGAAAACCAGGGAAGAGATCACTTGGGAAATCTCAGCCCTAAAGTAAAATCAGGAGACACAAATTGACCAATACCAGGTTAATAAAAAAGAAAGAACTTTTATCATCACCGCAGTACTCCTGTTACAAGCATAGCTGGATTGGCTAGATGGTAAGAGCCACCGATTAGTATTCTCACGGGGAGAGGAAAACCCATTTCTAAATGCACAGACATCAGATTCCCAAACAATAAAACCTAACGGATGTATCTAAACTTTACCCTACTTACAGATAGTGAAGAGTCTTTTCTCGGAGAGAGACATGTTGTCTGTCCCCCTCAGTATTTGGAGAGTCAACTGCCCAGAGACAAATGAGGGGAAAACCCCCAAATTCCTTTGTCTCCGTTTGAAATCCCTATCTGCATTTCTATTGGCTAACCGCTACCTGGCTAGGTACAGTTAACCCCTTAGTCCCCAGGCTGCTGGCTAACCCTCACGGTTATGACAAAGGCTAATGGGCAACTTGATCCCAGTGGATCAGAACCTGCCGGGGGGGACACATTTGCTCAGGACTTCTAGGGAGCAGACAATGGTCTTACAAGATCCAGAGGCTAGAAGCTGAATCTAGGGTGGAAATAAGGTTCCGATTGTTAGCAGGAATTAGTCATTGGAACATTTTAGCAGGGTTTGTGGGCAATGTTCTCTCAGCTTTTCCATCCATGTGCGGAATAATTTTGGTTTTGCACCAAGGTGGTGTGCACCACTTGTAGAAACAAAACAGCTGGGGGCGCTCTGCTAATCAGCTGGGTGGGTCTCTGGCCGGGTTCTCTGGGGGCCAGGCTAGAGGCTCACAGTGGTGCCTTATCAGCTGTTAGTCTAGGGGTGGGAGGAGGTGGGGGGACCTGGCTGTAGCCATGTCAGGCCTCTTGCTTCTCCGCAGGATCCACTACCCGCTGCCGCTGCCCTACGTGGGCAAGCCGGACCCTGTAGCGCTGCAGAAGGTCATCAGGGAGCTGAAGGAGGAGCTGGCGGTGCTGAAGGCCAGGCCGGGCAGGGATTTCCGGGACGCAGAGATCCGGCGCCTGCGGGACGAGTGAGTGCGTGCGGGGGGAGGCGGGGTGCCTGGGTGTTGTGCTGATTGCTGCCTCTAGGCTCTCTCCAGCACCTCGTGGGCAAGCCGGACCCTGTAGCGCTGCAGAAGGTCATCAGGGAGCTGAAGGAGGAGCTGGCGGTGCTGAAGGCCAGGCCGGGCAGGGATTTCCGGGACGCAGAGATCCGGCGCCTGCGGGACGAGTGAGTGCGTGCGGGGGGAGGCGGGGTGCCTGGGTGTTGTGCTGATTGCTGCCTCTAGGCTCTCTCCAGCACCTGTCCATCAGGCAGAGGCAAGAAAGGTCACCTGCCCCTCCCCAGAGGCGGGGGGGGGGGGGGCGCCAATC